TCCCACCTGAAGGAAGAAAGCGGCAAAGCCAGGAGCCACACACACCTCACTGGACCCCTGCTGCGCAGTTCTCCTCCCCCACCTGCCAAGGGTAGGGGAATGATTAAATCCCCCACTCTTCCAGGTGAAACGAAGGAGGGCCGGCCATCCTCCCTCCTGGCCATTTCTGCCCCCCGAAGCCTCCCAGGAGCCCCTTTTCTGCCAGGGGTTGAAATTTTCATGTAGGTTCCGTGAACTGCCAGAGCGCCTACCTGGGAATCAAAGGCGGCACTGGTCAAAGGCAACCCCGAGGCTCCAGTTGCCGCCATCTCCCACTCACCGACCAGATTCGCATAGCACCGGTTAGCGGCTGGTCTTTCTGACCTCGGGGCCCGTGGTAGTGCTGGGCCAGGCGCGATTCAGGCCAGGCAAGGTACGGAGGGTTCTTGCTCGGAAGACCCAGGCAGCCTCGTTTCCAGGTGTTCTTTGGAGGGAGCCCCGAGAGCGGTTGGCGAGGGGGAGGTCAGAGCCAGGCTTGGGCGGGCCCCGGCCAGCCCTAGAAGCGCCGGCTGCGAGGGCTTTCCAGTGGGGAGCCGGCTGCCTACCTGCTGAGCCTGGTGGCAGGATATGGCCCTCGGGCGTCTCTGCCTTCCAAATGCGCAGTTTCTTGGAAGCAATATGGAGAGTCTAAATGTAAGGAGCAGAAATCTGTTGAGCATAATCAGGGATGGGAGGCTGCCATGTTGGTTTTATGTCCAGCAGATGGCGCTGTTTTTCAATGATTTTCAATGTCTTTCAATGTTTTCCAATGTTTTTCATGTTTTTACCTGTCACAGGTGTGACATGTATATAATATAGGTATATAAAAACACGCCCGTAGTTGAATGCAACGTTGTGTCAAAATTTGAAAGAAATCGGTGAAGAACTTTCGGAGATGTGCAGTTATGTACAAATGGACATTTACATTTTTATTTACAGTATAACATTAGATAAATTACACTCTTGTTGTATTTGCCCGGTTTTGCTTCTATATTTTGCGTTAGTATCTCTTCTATCCATTGTCTTATCTGGTGCCAAAATTTTGTGGCTTTTGGGCATTCCCACCACATGTGATAAAAGGTCCCTGGCACTACCTCATACTTCCAACACTTCAACAAATGTTTTTTGCTTATTTTTGCTAATCTTGTGGGTGGGAGATGCCACCTATAGAACATCTTGTATAAATTTTCTTTGTATGTAGTAGCTAAGGTAATTTTTATGTTTCTTTCCCATAGATCCTGCCACTTGTCTAGATCAATGCTATAGCCAAAATATTTACTCCAAATTAACATAGTTTCTGTTACTTGTTCTTCTAACATATCTTGTTCCAATAAATAATGATATATTTTCTTTATTGCCTTCTCCTCTGTTCTTAATAAAATTTTATCTAATTCTGTTTTTATGCCCCAATCTTTTTTATCCTTCATATATTTTGATTGTACTTGGAGATATGCCCACCATTCGAGTTCAATTCCTTCCTCATTTAAATTTTTCCTGGATTTCAACTCTCCTCTCTCATTTAACAAATCTTTATATGTAATAACTCTTTCTAATTTGATAAAATTTGGGTATGTAAACATCTCCAATGTTGATATCCAATTCAGAACTTCCATATAAGTACATTGTTTAATTTTGATCCAAACATCCAAGAGTGCCCATCTGATGAAGTACTTCTGAAAGTACTTGTGAACCTTGTATTTCTCTTCCCAGAGAATAGTGTGTCACCCAATCTGCATATCATGGCCTTCCAGCATTAGCAACCTCCTATTTTTTAGATGTATCTAAATATACATCTAAATCCATACAAGAGTTGTTGCTTGATAATTTTTTTCCCATTGGAAGGCCCAATCCCCCTCTTTCCTTAGCATCCCTTTCATGCTGATGTCACCACCAGAAGTTCCTGCTTAAATAAATTCTTAAGGAGGCTTACTTATATTCAGGGGTCTTGAGAGTTTGGAGGTCTTGGGTCAGCTATTCATTTTACTCCTTCAACACATAAATTATTATTACCTTTTTCTAGACACACACTTAATCTATTTATTTTTGAGAACCACACTCTTTGTATTTTCAAAAGATAGCTTAATGCCAATGTGTACATTTGTTTGACAATACAAAATCAAGTAGTTTTTCTGTATTGCTTCACACAATGATAGAAATAGTAGAAAGAACAATCAGTACTAAGGTTAGCAAAGTTCAAACAAAAGCACAAAAATCCATCCAAAAAATTATTTCTCAACTTAAAATCAGCTGGGGATTCCAGTATTTAAAACCAAAACAAATCCAACCAAACCATATATTTTTCAAGGACTGCTGTAGTATACTGCTGAGTACATATACATATATAATTATTATAAAGAATGCATCAAGAAAATTACCAGTCTTCATGAGAGAAGAGTAAAATAACCAGGCCTCACAGTAACCCAGTAGCCCACAATACAATTAAAAAATCTTTTAACTCCTGTAAATCTTTCATGGGGGAAAAGAGAAGGAGGAGTTCATTACCCAAACTAAATAACATCAGCAGTGCTAGTTAAAAGGAAGGAGCCAACCCCAGGCAAAATTTGGTGCCCAGAACCCTGGAATAGGAAGCAGAAATATTCTGACTAGAAGAAAGAATGCAAGTATGGAAAATATAGGCTGGCGCATAGTGAGGATAAGATGAGATGGGGATATAAGCATCAGCAGTTTGAACTAGACTTTGGTATGTATAGGGAGCTAGTGCCATGACACACAATCCCATGCATTTCCTCCTTTTATTAAAAATGAAAATTTTAGGAAGAAACTCCTGCCTGTAGGATCTGAGCAATCCTGAGAAATTGGGGTTAGAGTTAGAGTTGGGAATCTTAAAAGATGGTGGAAACCTTGATGAGAGATTTTTAGCAGAAGATACCATGGATGGTCTATCAAAGAAGTCCCTCTCATTGGCAAGGATGCAAACTCAATAGTCTTTGAGGTCTCTTCTAACTCTCTTCTTCTGGTATCCATGCCAGCTAATGTACAAAGTGCAGATAACTACACAGAAACACCAAGGATTACCGAAGAGAGCCTATGGTGAAGAGTTCATTTCATGCCCAGCAGGACAATTAAATAGAAACGGTATGACTGATTCACAACCACATGCCTCAATATATGTACTTATTTCTTTATACAGAGAAAGATGTGTAAAAGAAACAGTTGCTCTTATACTGCAGGAGCAAACATCATGCTTATTTGTAAGGTGTTTTAAAATAATTAATCTCTCCTGTCTGTTCGATCAAGAGATTTTCAAACAGTGTATAATACTGTATTGAGTGTAGCTACTGGATCCCTGAGCAAATAATCCAATTTTGCCTCTGATCATGGGGTGGAGGATTTCAGATACAATATATCAACATTCACTTAAATATTAATTCTGAGAGTGCACTTGTTCAGAAATGTGCCTTGGGAACTAAAGATTCACATTTCTATCTGTAATAAGGACATTCTGATGACTTAGCTACATACACACATCCTAGTTGCCTAGTTGCCCCCAATACTGAACCACTGACATTTATAGGATTTCAATACCCAGTTAACACAGCCAACATTTAAGATTTTTCCATCCCCATGGTCTGAGGGATCGCAACATCTACCAACCCATGCTAATATGGGATGATAATATCCCTCCCTCCCTCCCTCCTTCCCTCCCTTCTCCATCTCCCTCCTCTCTTTCTTTTGCTCATTCTCTCTTCTCTCCCCATCACCATTTTAGATGTTGAGGGCCTTGCTCCTTTAGGAAGAAAATGCTGATGAAAGATGAACCCAAAGAAAGACAAAGTCGTATCTGGATCTAAATGTGGGCGAAGACATCCTATTTTTCAATCCTCTCAATACTCTTTAAATCAATTTCTGACTCTTTCTTCTCCCTCACTGTTTTTGCATAACAAACTAATGGGGAGTGCACATGCTGAGTGAAGGTTGATAAAATTAGGCCAGAGGCTGCATGAAGCTCTAAGGCAACAGGATGCCAATATTAATAAAAAGAATAAGGCCTTTAACCATGGAAAGGGATGGGGGAATTTTTCATACTCATAACATAGGCATTCAGAAATACAATTTATTTTCCATCACTTCTATTCCCAAATTAGAGAACAATGTGTAGCTTAATGATCATTCAGCTATGAACATGCAGCAGAAGGAAGCTATCTCCCAGAGTATGTGATCTTGCTTTGACATTTTGTAGCAATGAGTCATACTGGACTAGCCTAGTTAATACCAGATTAATTATTCACTCTTAGAGGAATACAGAATTTCCCTTCTAGCCAATGTAACTCTTCCCAGGAACTTCAAAGAGTTTGAGCTCCAAAGAAAAATTCAGATGAAATCAAATAAATGAAAGCTGCAAACACATGCAATTCATCAGCTCCTAGTGGAAAAAGTGGACTTTATACAATTCTCATCAGTCTCTAACATTGGTTATTCACTAGATATATATATATGGCTATGAAGCTTATAAGGATGGAAGAGGATATAGAAGGGAGGAAGATAGGTTTGAAAGGTTTGAGATGGAAGTAATTAGATAGCCAAAGGATGCAATTAAACTAGAGGTACAATTAGGCAATTGAAAGGGGTTATTTTAAGAAGGTTTTATTCATTTCCTGGCTCTAAATAACAATTTGCTAATTGTTGCAGGATCCAATCTGGGTCAGTCACCAGGACCAGAGGTTTAGTTTTAGGAACTTTCAGACTCATGCTGGAGCCCATCCTCGGGGAACTTCTCTCTCACCCACATTTGGGCGAGAGAGAAGTTCCCTGGGGTGGGGTTCCAGCTTGGAAGACTAAACCTCTGGTCCTGGTGTCCGATCCATATTGGATCCTGCAACATTTTCCTGGGACATGTATATTCATCTTCTTTGATAGTTGTGTTTAGGATTGGAGTTTGCAAAGAGGAATCAAAGCTCACACATGGCTGGAGATTGTTCAGCCCTCATTTAATAAAGGAGTTTCCCAGATGCATGACTTACCTTGGATACAAAGGCCTTCTGTACAGTTCTCTGATTCTTGGTTTGGACCTTCACAGAATTTCCCACCATTCCGTGGAGGTGGAGAAGTGCATTCCCGGATCCTCAAGTGCTCACACTCAGGGCTGCAGATGGACCATTCACTCCATACCTCCCAGGCACCGTCCACTAATGAGGAGAAAATGGATAAATGGTAGATTTCCGTACAAGACATTTGATCTTCTATGGAGATTCTCAGTCATCTAGGTTATGGTTGTCCCAAAGGTGCTTTTTCAAAAGGCAACTGGACTTTTTTTTATTTTTCTTGACAACATTTCATTTCTCATCCAAGAAGCTTCTTCAGTTATGACTGAAGTTCTTCCATTTTCCAACATTCAATCAGAACTGAAGAAGCTTTTTTGAAGAGAAGTGAAATATCTTCAAGGAAAAGCAAAGAAAGTCCAGTTGCTCCTTGAAAAAGCACCTTTGGGAGATGACATTTGATTCAGAGATAGTTTGAATCATTTGGAAAAAAGAAATGAAATAGTGACATTGTTTGGTCCCTCCACTTTTTTAAAAAATGCATATATTTTCTTATATAGCTGAATTTCCTTTCCTACTCCTTCTAATTGGCAACATTCATGTCTCTAACTTCAGCTTCTGTCTTATGCTCCCATATTCCTCTCAGCTTAAAACAAATATTGATTCCCAACATTGCATTGTAAGTAAAGCTGAATATTTGCAGTCGAATGGAAAACTTCATTCTTTCCCCATTAAACTTCACTTCCTTCTTCTACTGATCCTCCCCATGCCTGTTATGTGCAGCATTTTAGAAGATATAACTCCATGGAGCTGGAAAGCACACTGTTAATAGTGTGCAAAGAAGACACAGGCAACAGACTTCATATAATGCCATTAGGTACAGGAAATCTGGGAACCATTTGAATTTGATGATGATGATGATAGCTTTGATGGTGGTGGTGATAGGGACTTTACAAAAGAAGATGAGGGAAGGGGAAGATATTACATTCTAAGTGTTGTTGCTCCTCATCCTTGTACAAGTTGGGGTTGAACCATTTTTTTAAAGGCCATTGCAGTGCTGCAATGGCATGACTTGAATGGGTGAGCAGCTTTTCATTCTTTGTGGAATTGAAAGAGAATTTCAGCTTGATATGTCAAATCTTGAAATTAATGTAATAGTTTTCTGTTTTCTCCAAAATCAAGACTGCAATAAGTAGATTTAATGCTTACATGTGGCCTGAAGTCTGCTCATTCCTAATTTAAATAACTACTGGACACCCCAAGAGACAAGAATGAGCTGGAAACTATATCTCTATTTTATTACCAGAAAGGATAACTATAGAAGATAATTCACAGTTATTGAATGAATGCATCTGGTAGTTCTGGATTTTTACCCAGTCTGACCTCAAATCTTTCATGTTCTCTTGCAATGCTGCTGTCTTAGAACAGGAGAGCTGGATTTGAATCTCCGAGTTCCCACTTTGTATGGGTATATGGGTTTTCATTTTTGGCATTCCTCCTTACCCATTCAGATAAGTCTTTCAATCTTAGACTACAATCTTCTAAATACCAAATAAACTCTAACAATTTTACATGATAATCTGAATTGAGCTGTAAATTCCCACCTTTATATCCTCTTCAAACTAACCAGACCATGATTCCACTCAACTCTAGATGCTGAGTATGCTCTCTGAACCTGAAAAGAAATAGGTAAGTGTTTCTGCTGTCCAGTTGTCTCTGACTCTAGAGAGTGGTGCTCATCTTCATTTCCTAGCTAATGGACCCGGTTTTGTCCAAAGATGCTACTGTAGTCATGTAGCCGATATGACTATATGCTTAGGCACATAGAACACTGTTATCTTCCCGCCAAAGTGATACTTATTTATCTACTTGCATTTGCATTCTTTCAAACTGCTAGGTTGGCAGGAGTTGGGGCAAGAATAGGAGCTCACTACATCATTGGGTCTCAAACTGCCAACCTTCTGGTTGATAAGCTCAGTGTTGTTCTAAACAGATAATGGGAACTTGGAACTTTTCAAATGTTAGAATCTATAGAAGAGAATATTTGTAGCTCAGGGTTGAACTGTGGAGTCAGTTCTAGCACTGCTGATGTTACCTAGTCTGGTAATGAAATATCTACAAGAAAATGACCAAACTCAGAGAGCATGAAAGGCTCCACATATTAGAATTTATCCTTAGTTTATAGAAGAAAAGCAGATAAACTATTCATGCAGCACATGAACCAAATTTGTATTTAAAATTTAATCTTGAAATGAATTCCTTTTCTTTCTCCAGTGCGCTGCTTGGAGAATCCAAGCAAGGGTTAACTTCAATACTATTGCCAGAAATTGAGTTGAAGATTTTTCTTGGCCACGCCTCCCTTGTCTGGCTCAGTTTCAGTTTTTCAACTCAGTCAGCCAAGAGAGATGTATATTAAATTGTTCTACTTGAGTGGAGGATGATTCTAGACTTCTTGGGACAATTTTGGATTTCTGGAAGGGCCAGCATGCTGTGGGTGAGTGAGCTGGTCTGCTATGGCAAGCCTGGACTGACCTCCACCACCCTGAAGGGAAAAATATAGGTAAGCAGCAACTCCGGGGTCAACTCAAGAATGGGGATCCTCCATGGTGCTGGCACCTGGAATCTTACCCACCTAGCTGCTGGTGTGTGAGCTGGTGTCTCCATTGTGAGCTGTAAAACTGCCACCACCTGTGTTTTTCCCCAGAGGGGGAAGTGGCTCCGGACATACTCCGTGCTTATTTGGGCTGCATGGTACTGGGAGGGCTTTAGTCATGTCCTCCCGCCCCTAGAAGTACCACTGTGGTGGGGTGAAGCATTTTGAGTGGCAGCGTTGCTGGGCTCATTGCTTCTGTGCCTTGGGCCATCTGGCAGCCGGCATGTTAATTGCGGAAGCGGAGGCACTAGGAGAGCCGAAGTCTGCTCTCGCACCTCACTTTTAATTGACTGTAGTGCTGAGGAGCACTTAGTGGCTCAGCCCACTTTGTTTCTCCTTAGTGGCTCAGCCCACTTTGTTTCTCCTTAGTAGGCTGGCAGCCTTGGAATTTCCCGCACGGTGCTGGGAGAGACAATTTTGCCTTTGCGCCATTTTTCTTCCAGCTGAGAGGTGCAGAGGTGCCTCAGCGCTTGCGCAGAGCTGCAGGGAGCTCTGCAAGCTGCAATTGTGCAACAGGGTGCTCGTGAGTGGAAAATTTCCTTTCCAGCACCAGTTTAAGTTCAGTGCAGGGGAGTGGCTAGTTTTTGGAGCAGGCATTGTTGCAAGTGCTAGCTCCAGAGCAGAACTCTTTGCAGGAGCACTGAGATTACTGGATTTTGCCACGAGGATCCAGCACAGTCTTGGAGCAGCAGACTGATCTGATCAGGTATAGAGTTTCCTTCTAGATCTGGTCTGTATAAAATGAGTAAGTAGTGGCAAAATGGCAGACAGGGAGTTATCACCACCCATGGAGCATTCTGAACCCCCTAGCTCCATAGAGCTGAAGAGTCCTCTAGAGGGGCTTTTCAAACAGAGAGCTCTAAGAGGCATTTATCTAAAAAGGATTCTGCTGCATTTGAACGTGACTAAGTTCGCATCCAGGGCTTAGCCTCTATGACTTCACGCCGCCTAATGTGGCTTCACCATTGGCAGGCGGACATGTATTCCAAATGGAGATTGGCTTCCGTCTCCTACAAAGGGTCAACCTTGTTTGGAGAAGCATTGGATCCCATCCTTATTGAAAGCAAGGACAAGGAGAAAACTCTGCCCTCCTTGCACAGAAGGGCAGATCGTAGAGCCACGCCTTACTACTCTCAAAGGCAGCAATTCAGGTTGACAGAATCTGGGTCCAGCTTTGCCCAGTTTCAGCACCCAGCCTACCAGGGTCACAAGAGGTTTCCAGATAGGTCATCCTATTGCAATAGAGGGAGGCATCATCGGGCTCCAACCAAGCAGCCCTTTCGTGGGTCAGGAGGTCACTCCTTTCGCTGCAGCAAATGACTACACCACCAGTTTGCCCATTGGGGGCCACTTACAGCACTTTGCGGACCAATGGGGACAGATTACAACAGATGAGTGGGATCTGCAGACAGTGCGGTTGGGCCTTGCACTGGAATTCCTATCCACCCCCCCCCCAACCAATTTGTTCATTGCACAGTTCCTGTGAACCATGAGAAAAGACAGCTGATGGAGACTGAGATCCAACATTAGTTGGAAATTAAAGCCATCGAATCGGTTCCAGAGGGCCATGAGGGCCTGGGATTTTACTCAATCCTGTTCCTGGTAATGAAAAGTTTGGGGGGCTGGAGGGGAATTTTGGATTAAAAAAAACTCAATGTCCACATAGTCTACCACCACTTCAAGATGCAGTCACTTCAATCCATCTTGGGCTGTATCAGGGAGGGCGAGACATTGACCTCCATAGACCTCAAGAAGGCCTATCTTCACATGCCCATTTGTCTTTGTCATTGCAAGTTCCTGAGGTTCTCATATGCAGGGCGCCACTTCCAGTACCGGGCGCTGCCCTTTGGTCTGTCATCGGCTCCCAGGGTCTTCACGAAGGTGTTGGTAGTAGTTGCAGCCCACATCAGAGCAATCCCCATTCGATTGCAATGTTACCTCGACAACATTTTGATCCAGTACAGCTCAGTCTTGCGAGCGGAACAGGACATCCAGACCATAATACAGATCTTTCAGAACCATGGCTTCATGGTCAACTTCAAAAAGATCCATCTGGTTCCATCCACCAGTCTCCTTCATCTAGGAGCAGTGATAGATTCCTCCTCCGGCAAAGTCTTTCTCTCAACAGACCGTCAGGAAAGCCTGCAGTCATTAGTGACAAAAGTAGTAGCTCTGCAATTGGTGCTCTAAATCTCCTCTCCCTCTTGGGAAAGATGATCTCATGTCTAGCGATAGTGCCTTGGGCATGGCTGCATGACAGGGCACTGCAATGGTTTCTGGTATCACACCAGAGGGCCGGCAAGAGTGATTCAAAAATCAAAGTGAGACTTACACAAAGGGTGCTGAGATCCCTGCATTGGTGGACATCCCCCGCATTACGGCATGGCTGCGGCTTTAGGGTGACCCAGCAAGTCATGATCACATTGGACACAAGCCTCTTCAGTTGGGGCACCCACCTCCAAGCTCAGGTGGTTCAGGGCAGGTGGTCTCTGAC